AAAAAAAACATAATTTTCCAATGAAAACAGCAATTAATCCAAACATTTTGATTACAACAAAAGTATTGCAGAAATATTTTGGTCGCTTTCTTGAGGAAAACTTTGATTTGCTTATCATTGAGTGAACACTACTTTTCTTATCACAACACTTGGGATCAAATTTCATGCCTTTTCGGCTTATTTTTGTTTTCATTACGACTTAATAGACTTATCACTCAATTGAACGCATCAGTGATGGGAATAACGGGTAGGGAAGTGATGGTCGGGTGTCTGCAGTGATGACAACAATGAAACTCTTGGACCCATCGGTTGAATGCATTTTTTCACATACTCTCGCAATTGAGGCCAATATTGTAAATGAATATAACTTTCAACGCAATCATCGCTTTTATTGATTCCTTGAACTCATAAAGCATTTTGCAAATCAAATAGTCTTTGATTTCACAACAAAATCAAATCTTAATTCACATTTTATTTAAGAATAAACACAAATAGTTTGTTATAAAATAATCGCTTTTATTATTAAAAATTTGAGTGAAATCTGTTTTCGTTTCTTTTAAATCACAATACAATTGAAAAATACTAAAAATTAACAAAAATTACTCACAAATATAATCGTTTTAGTGACTAAATTATATGACAAAAATCAATCGCTTTAATAGTAATTATAATCAAATCACTCATTGAATGCATAGTAAGTGTTGAGCCGTATTTTGAGCTCAACTTTCGATTATAAGATAAGCTTATCATTGATTTGGACTCTTATATCGCGGGTATTCAATGAGAGACACAAATAAATGGCATTTAAGTCTAAATAATAATAATTATTAATTAATTAATTCAATAAAAATATGTATTTCTGTAAATGAGGGGAAGAAAAATCACTAATAATGAGGAAAAAACAGTAAATCAAAAAATATCTAAATTATAATTTCAATAAATTATTTAATTAATAGGAATAATACGACAAATATATATATGTTTTTACTTTCCATACAATTATTGCAACAAATTCTCTGAAGAAAACTCATTAAACGTGTGTTTAAAACGACTGTACAATACGTTTAACCAGTTTTTAATGTATGTTTAAATTGTTAATTAATATCTATATCTCTATAATTGTGAGCGTTATGTTGTGGTGTCAACTAAGTAGTGGTCATTTTGTTGGGCGGCACGTGACCGATGTCTCCCACCGTATAGACGGTCACTCGACCACTGGGTCTGATGGCAATCCACGTGAGACTGCAATTGTGTAATGAAAACCGTAGCCACGCTTCGGGTGGGAACTGCAGCGCGCGGCATACGAAGTATCGGATCACGTTTGCGTGACACACCATTATCTCGTAACTGTCTTTCGTCTGCGTTGGATCCGCTCTATGGAAGTACTTCCGGAACGCGGCCTCTGAAGACGACACACAACACAAGTTTATCATTAAAAAATTATCTCAAAAATATATTAAACAATAATTTACGCACCGATTCGGGCGCCGTCTCTGAAGAACTGCTATAATGGCCGCGAAAATGATTACAAAAATCACGGATTAATAAACAAGTGATTAGAAAAAACACGCATTTGGACGGGAAAAGTGGTTTTGGACACAAACCTTGGGTTCTGGTCTCCAGTGATGGACCGGCGGGTCGGGCTTTATGGGCGATCCCTCGCGAATGAATTCACAACTATCGACAGGAATATTAGGCAACTGTTGGCTAATGATGTTCGCCGTCTCCTGGGCTCTGGTCATCGTTGACTGTATGATCCGAGTGTAGGGAAGGGCCAGATCTTTGAGCCGTACGCCCGCGTGATAGGCCTGATCCCTGCCCAACGGCGTCAGTGTCCGCAACAGATCCGTCTCGCCGTTCATATTGTACTGCCCGTGACGGACAAGTATGATGTGACGCGTGGCCACCGATTTCGCTCTCTCGAGCTTTTCGTTGTAATTGTTTTCCTCTTTCTCTGAGACACGAAACGAACCGCTGATGGGTTTGACTAAACAAAACGGATCCCTTTTATCCCAATTATTGTCCCATTTGTTG